AGCACAAGATCCACTAACTAAACCTTGATGGAATAGTTGCCCCAGAGGCTGGACATACAAAACTAAGAGACAGGGGCACCACAGACACAAATCCAACCATGATTTCCCACCCTGTCCATGTTTTCAGCAATCACAATTGGAGTGAGGGGTCTTTAAATCTGCTTCTCTTTTTAGTTAGCTGGGAGCCAGAAAAAACTGTTCATCTACAGCAAATTATTCAGACATCTCCTAGTAGATAAAAAATCTACCTTCCACCTGCCATGATGTAGAAGATCAAAATTTTACAGATTACCGTAATTTATTCAAAACTGAGATGAGGTAATAATGTTTGTGGTGCATGTTTTTAAACAGCTAAACAAATAATTAATAAATATATGATTTACAAGTAGATGATCCACAATGACCAGCCCTAAGGACTCCATAATGTGCTATCAGTGTCCTTAAATTCACTTTCACAGGGAGTTTGTAAATTTCACAGAAGGACATGCAATGCACTTTCTCTCACGTAAAACAATTATCAGAGATTAACCAACAAGAATATACACATAGTGAAGCCTCCCTATAGCAATCAACTCCAAAAATACAAAGACCAATGGTATATGAATAGTGTCTCTAAGTGTACAATACCAAACATATAAATATAGAAATACATGACATTCAAAAATATGAAATAAAATATTGTCAATTACACATTAGTAGAAGTCTTTTTCAACACAAGGTGTTCTTCCCATGGTAGAGTCTACTTTTTCAATTACATACAATCATTGAATTTGCAGTTCAAGAACTGTATGTAATTGTAAAAAGTATGCATTACTGGCTGCGGGACGTGGTGGGCTGCTGGACGTGGTGGCGCTGCGGGCTAAACCGCAGAGGCCTGTGCTGCAGGGTCAGAAGACCAAGTAGTCGTAATATCGAATCCACGCAATGGAGTGAGCTCCCGTCGCTTGTCCCAGCTCCCGCCAACCTAGCGGTTCGAAAGCATGTAAATGCGAGTAGATCAATAGGGACCACTTCGGTGGGAAGGTAACAGCGTTCCGTGTCTAAGTCGCACTGGCCATGTGACCACGGAAGATTGTCTTTGGACAAAAACGCTAGCTCTATGGCTTGGAAATGGGGATGAGCACCGCCCCCTAGAGTCGAACACGACTGGACAAAAATTGTCAAGGGGAACCTTTACCTTTTTATGCATTACTGACTGCACACCTTAATACATTATAAGTATACTCACAAATTATTGAGATTAGACCTTAAGCCATTTATTAGTATTGAACAAATACAATTACAGTTTCCTGCTTATTTGTATCACAGGGTTATCCCATTGTGGCCTGGGGGCTCCCACAAGAAAATGTTTCTTGGAACATTTACTTTCATAACATGACAACAGGGGGTGGTAAATCAATTATGTAGTTCAAAACTGTAATAAGCATCAAAAATGCACACGATCTTCTATTATACTATACACAGAGAATCACACCCCTTTTACTGGGTGTTAATTTCTAAGCTCCTGCTCCACAATCACAATTAATTGTTGCATATCTCAGGATGTATGAATAGAAATAGTGCTATCCTAAATAAGCTGTGCATAGATATGCAACCCTAATCTCATATGAGATGTGGTTTTACACTTTAACATCTCAATTTTTTCTTAAAGAAAAAAAAATACAATTCAATATTTTTTTAAAAAAGACTTACTACTCAAGTAAACTAGCATAACACAGTGGATTAGAATGGCTGATTGTGGAACCTGGGAGCTGGAATTCCAATCCCCTCCCATACTGAACCTCCTGGAGAAAAAAGCCAACTGAGATAACTGCACCAGTGTGATTGGTGGGGTTATGTGCTCTTCAACAGGTGCAGTCTTGGGCAAGCATCACAGCACCAAAACACCATCAGACTAGTAAAACACTTTTGAGCAGTTCATACATAAAAGTTCAGGGGGAGATGCCATAATTTAGAATTAACTTAATCGCACATAATAACTGTTACATGCTACAGTATCTCAAATAGATGTAGGAACATATTATGCTAAAGAGAAAGGTTCTGCCCACCTCCAGCAGAGTTTTCAAAATCAAGTCAATCAGCTTCTCTACATTAGGAAAAGGTGCTTTCAGAGCAGGACATACATATTTGAAGAACCTGCTCTTAAATCCCAGCTCTTCTAATTTTAACATTTTGACAGCAAATAGATATGAGGTCTTCAAAAATTATGATTTCTTCTGGAGAATCTTTAATGCAACATGCAGCTATGAATGAAACTGAATGTGTCCAATACTACACATGAACATCACAGAAGTCTGTAAGTTTATACAGAAGTATGTCATCATATACTCCCTGGGATTTAGTATCAGGCATGTAAGAATGCAGCCTAGACTGGAAACTTGGTTGAAATTCACAAAATTTGCTTCAGAGTACATAAACACATTTTCAATACAGTCTTAAACTTAGAAGTCAGCGCAACTCAGTTCACTCCCAAATGACTGTTTCTAAATAGCTTTAGCAACATAGTTTGTAGGCACCCAATCAAGAAACCTAGAAAAACAGGTGTGTGCGAAACCATCCCATCACATGTAACATTGTGCAGAATGTACAACTCACTCCACTTTATGACAACTTTCCTCCTTGCTAGCAACAGAAGGAGCATCCATTACTGTAACGATTACACTTACCGAGAGAGTAATGCCAATTTTTGCTCAAGCATCATCTCCAGTTTCTGGGCCTGCTTGGAGACCCAGTGATCTACTCCGTGCAGCCGATAGCACGTCTCCAACATCAGCCGGAAATCGGCGACGAAATCCGCGATTGCCCTGTACTGCCTGGTGGAAAACTTCTCTTTCATTTTAAGCAGCCCCATCCCAGGCGGCGGCTGAGTTTCTCGCGAAGGCTGATGCCCACTACTTTCCTTAGAGGACGCGGCGGCGGCTCCACTTTGCCCATCCTCAGCTTCTCGGCCTCCAAAGGGTCTTAGGAAAGGGGCAGTCAGGGGCCGGTGCTTTTCCAGCAGAAACTCGCTCAAGATCCGATATCCCTGTTGCAGTTCCGGGCTCAGTTTCTGCTCCCAACTGCGGTGGCCGCCAGCATCGTCCTCCTCTTCTTTCGCCAGGCACCCAACTCCCGCGGGCTCCCTTCCCCGCTCGCCGGCAGCGGCGCTCTCCGTCGGCAGCTCCATGCCGCCTTCCTCCTCCTCCTCCTCCTCTTCTCCTTCCTCGCCACCGTCGCCCGCCGCCCCCTCGGGCTGCGCCAGGTTCATGCCCGGCAGCGGACGGAGCCAGAGGGAGGCTCCATGGGCACCCGAGGACTTGAACCCACCGCCCTCCCTTGCACCGGCCTAAAGGCTCGGAGCCTGCTCCTCCCGATAGGCCGGACGGGCTGCTCCAGCCACCACCACCGCCGCCTCCCTCCCGAAGCTGACCAACGCTGGTCCGCTTGGCACCTGGGGAGACGGCGGCGGCGGCGGCGGCAGGACGGGAGGCCTCTGGTCGGCGGGAAGGGGGGCGGGAACCGGCGGCGACAGGCGCGAAGGGTCCCCGAGAACTCGCCTTCCTTCCCCGTGAGCCGCTTCAAGGGGAGCGCGCGGTGCCTCAGCGAGGGCTGCCCGCGGTCCCTCCCTTCTCAGGCGACGGGGGAATGAGGAAGGGACGAGAAACCACCGACGCCGACAGCCCTCTCCCTCTCCCTGCCCTTGCTGCCTGGACCTGCCCCTCGGGTCCCTGTCAGATTTCTTCCCTCAGCACTTCTGCCACAGCAGCTGGCAGCGAGGCCTGCGCGCCTTCTTCTCCTGGTTCACACGACCGGGCCTGGCAAAAAGTTCCCTCTCCTTGCCCCTCTCTTTCTCGCCCGCGGTGTTTGCCGAGGTGACGCGGCCGAAGCCGGTCCCGCTGTCAATTAGGGAGAGCCCTGCTAGACCTTAGCTGTCCCCTCCCCCCTCAGACAAGAGACAGGGAGAATGGGTGGGGGGGGGAGGAAAGAGCGCCGTCTTCCACCAACTGCGCATGCGTAGTAGTCCCGGCCTGGGGCACTTGCGTGGGCCGCGCACTTTGTTTTGGACGCCAGCTGGAGCGTTCGTCATCAATGAGCGACGAAAAGGCAGAAAGGGGGGGTCGCGGTAGGGAGTCACTGCGCATGTCGGACATGAACAACATAAGAGGTTTGGGTTGCGAAGACAGGCTGGAATCTTAATTCTGAATAGAATACCCATTTTTATAATAAGGTATAAAGGTCTTCCTACAGGTATTTTACTACTATTCGATGTTATTGCTGGTGGTGTAACACGACTACCTGCAGTTTGCATGGTTGTGACTGATGTTCAACTAGAGGTTGGCTTCAGATATAGTACATTGTAGGTATTATTAAAGAAGATACTTATTATATATATAAAAAAGAAATTAAATATTTCTGTGAAAAGTATCCTGTAGGAATCGAAGGAATAAAATGGAATTAACAGTGTTAAATTTTGGGGATTCAAAATACAGTATATGCTGAATTATTTAGAAGTACCCTGTTTCCCGTAAAATAAGACCTAGCCTGAAAATAAGGCCTAGTATGAGTTTTCAGGATGCTCATAATATAAGTCCTACTCCAAAAATAAGCCCTAGTTAAGTGAAACCCCGCTCTCCACCATTGTGCAGCAACGAAATCACATGACTGTATTTGAATAAATGTAGATGGTTGTACATGACAAAAATAAAACATCCCCTGAAAATGAGCCCTAATGTGTTTTTTGGAGCAAAAATTAATGTAATGCCCTGTCTTATTTTTGGGGAAACAGTATGTTTTTAGAAATGTGATTAACTTCTTGTCCGGTAGGTGATGATCAGAGTTTAGTAGGGCTTCGGTATACTCTTATACTACCAGGAGCTAATTATTCCTTAGGCTGTAGTCCTGTATCCACTTCCTGAGAATAAGGGTTTGTTGTTTAGTCGTTAAGTCATGTCCAACTCTTTGTGACCCCATGGACCAGAGCATGTCAGGCCCTCCTGTCTTCCACTGCCTCCCGGAGTTGGGTTCAAATTCATGTTGGTAGCTTCGGTGACACTGTCCAACCATCTCGTCCTCTGTCGTCCCCTTCTCCTCTTGCCTTCACACTTTCCCAACATCAGTGTCTTTTTCCAGTAGA